GTCTGATGACTACTAAGAACATTTAAGCTTCTCAGGTGACTGCTGTTGATTATTATCAAGTTTTTTTTGTCTTTTTTTTTTTTTTTAATTAAAGAGGTGCCTTTGCTTAATTCTACAGTTTATGAATTTCAGGTGTTTACCTCAAATCTGTGTCCACCCTAATAGTGTAGAAAACTTTCCTCATTAGCAAACTGAAAAAACTCCTCTTATTGATTTGGGATTGTACTTGACAGATGATGAGCATTTCAGGCTGTGAACTGCTGATGTTTAAATACATTACCCTAATACTCTTTAAGCATTGCCAATTGTAAACCTCATTAACTCCCAGCATGTGGCCAAGGCCTGGATTTCTTCACTACAGCCTCACAAAGTGAAAACAGGTATATAAAAATGATTTTATCATCAACATTATTATATCCTCCTTCACCTTGTGAAGTATTTAAAAGGCTGTACTTTCATTCCTCAGAAGGCTAAATAGCGAACTTAGGAAAAGCAGTGAACACACTTTGTTTTTACAGGCTACACATTCTGAACTCCTCAATTCTTTTTTTATCTTTTCTTTTTTGACACCCTTATTCCTCAGGCATCAAAATCCAAACTACCCCAGGAGTGACTCTCTAAACTCTAAACAGAAAGGAATTATTTGAGGATGCTGACCATATTGCTATCATTTTGATTCAACAAAATGGGGGCTGACAAGGCAGTACATTGAACCTATCAGCCCAGCACTAACAAAACAGGATGTCTGACATTCCCCTTTGTCAAAAGGCCAACTTTTGTTTGCACATTGTGTGTTCTAGAAGAGTGTGAAGAGGTTCCAAACCTGAGGTGAAAAACAAACATAGTCGGACTTCTGCATCCCTGGGTCCCAAAACCTATGGATTTAACCAACCCCAAATAGAAAAATATTCAGGAAAAAAAGTTGCTTCTGCACTGCCCATGTGGACTCTGGTTTCCCTGTCAATTCTCCCGGAACAATACAGTATAACGACTATTTACGTGTATCAGGTATTATCAAGTAATCTAAAGATGACTTAAAGTACAGTGGAAGATGTGCACAGGTTATATGCAAACACCAGAGCATTTTTATAAGTGACCTGAGCATGTGCAAATTTTGGAATAGCGGAATCCTGTGAGGGTCCTGAACCAATCCCTCAAGGATACTGGGCAATGACTGTACATGGTAAAGGGATTTGTGATCCTAGCAAGCCAATTAGATACTCCATTCAATGCTGGCCCCACCACACCTGTTTCATTAAATTAGAAGCTTCCAGAGGACAAACACTGCATTTTTCCAGTTGCTGTGTTTCCTGAACACACATAATAGTGACAGGCACAGAGACAAGACTCTCAAGCTGCTGAATGACTGCTGGATAAGCACCCAGGGAGAAGCGCCCATCAGGGAAAGCAGACCAAGTCACCACTTCATGAACCAGTAAATCAGAACTAAGAGAGCTCCAGCAAACAGGATCCCTTAGCCAATAAGCTGGAAATGAAATCTTAAGTTCATGCAGTGCACAGGCACCTAACTTCCTGCCCAGAGTTCAAGCCAAAACTAGACATAGGTGAAGTTTTCAAGAAGGGACCAGGCTCTGAGGGAGGCGGTTCACAGCAGGGGTCTCTGCCTGGGAAATGTCTACATCATCCAAACACTACCACTAAAAAAAAGTGTTTTGTTTTTTGTTTTCTGGATCAAAATGGTCTTTGACCAAAGAAAATTCTTCATAACCATAGGCTTTCTAATTCCCCCCAAGGGGTGGATGGGGGATCAGCTGCATGAGTGTATTAGTTTTCTACAATTGCTATAACAATAACAAGGAAATAAAACCATTATATTGAAGAGATGTCTGCACTCCTACATTCACTGAAGCATTATTCACATTATCCAAGATATGGAAACAACCCAAATGTCCATCAACAGATGAGTGCTTAAAAGAAAATGTGGTGTCTATACATAATATTATTCAGCCTTAAGAAAGAAAATTCTGTCATTTGTGACAATATGGATGAACCTGGAGGACATTATGTTAAATGAAATAAACCAGGCACAGAAAGACAAATACCATATGCTCTCACTTGTACGTGGAATCTAAAAAATTTAAAATCATAGAAGCAGAGAGCAGAATGGAGGTTACAAGGGACTGGCACAGGGGTGTGATACTAAGGCAATGCTGGCCAAAGGCCACAAAAGTTTACATAGGAAGAACAAGCTCAAGAAACTCTTTGTGCAACATGGTAACTATAGTTAATCACAATATATTGTACACTTTAAAAATTACCAAGAGAACCTTTAAATGTTCTCAACATACAAAAAATGAGTTTGTTAGTTAATAGATACATTACTTAGCTTTACTTGGCCATTCCACAATGCATACAATTTCAAAACATCCTGGTGTGTACTATAAATATATATAATCTTTATTTTCAATAAAATTTAAGTAAAGCAAATTACCACTGGCCAGGTATCTTAAAACAGAAGAATTTATTCTAACAGTTCTGGGAACCTGAAGTCCTAAATCAAGGTGTCAGCAACACCAGACTCCTCCCATATGCTCTAAGGGAAAATCCTTTGGTTCTTCCAGCTACTCATGGTTCCAAGCATTCCTTGGCTCATGGTCCCATCACTCCGGTCCCTGCCTTTGTGTTCACACTCCTCCTCCTCTTCTCTGTGTCTATGTCAAATTGCCCTTCTGCTTCTGTCTATATAAAGGGCCCACCCAGATAACTCAGGGTAATCTTTTCATCCCAAAATTCTTAATTTTATTACATCTGGAAAGCTCTTCTTCCACATAAGGTATTTACAAGATCCAGGGATTAGGCAGAGAAAATTCATAGGGGGAAAAATCCAAAGTCATTCTGGAAAGTGTCCTACTTAATTCTGTATGGTATAATCTCTTTCCTCCACCTTGCAGAATGCCTTTCCGGGTGATTTGGAATCATCATATTCTGTCTCCTAGATCCATATCATTTAATCATATATGAAATTTTAAAGGTGATTTGAGCGAGGGAAAGATGATAGAAAAGTTATGATCACAGTGATATGTTTAAGTTTACTCATAATTCTACACCTGCCTTGAAAAATACCAGTGTACGCACAAATACCTTCATACTACCTCATCAATTACAATTGTTTTGTAAAACTGTACAGAGGTCTTTCAACTAGTCAAAAACCAAATACATGAAATCACTAATTGTAAAATGACCACTAAAGGAAATATTAAGGGTAATATTTATAAAAGAATGTGTTAATGATAACAGGTAGAGAAAACGCTCTTAAGAGGTAGAAAAGTATATATTTAATAACTTTCTGATCATTAAAGTAACAAAAACAAGTTTTGAACAAAAATAAACATACCCATCTTTGGTCTGATCCACCACGCCACTTAAAAGTTCCACAGTCTTTGGATTAGGCTGGCTTTCTCCAAAAATATTCAAATATCGAGTAACAAAGTCATTAGGAGACATAAAAAATTCACCATTTTTTTCAATGCTTGCATACTGTTAAGAAAAGGGGAAAAAAAGAAATGTTATTTTATATACTTGATTCTCTAAAGTATATAATCATGGGATCAACATGTGAAAAGCCTGAGAATATTCAAAGGATACTATCAGATATGAAAATATACTCTTTACAATCGCAGTTACCTCCCGTCACTTCAAAGAAAAAACAAGACACATTAAATTTGTCAAATTTTGTGCTTACACCAGTGGTTCTCAATTGTAGGTAATTTTCCCCCACAAGGGACATCTGGCAATGTCTAATAACAATTTTAATTGTCATAACTTGGAGGAAAGGGATGCTATTAGCACCTAGCACCTACAAGGTAGAGACGGGGATGGTGCTAAATATCCTACAGTAACTCACAGGCTGAGCCCATGAAACGGAATTGTCTAGTCCAAAATGTAAACAGTGCTGGGAAACCCTGGTTTACAGAAATTTAGAAAGACAAATTATATCTTGTTTTTTGGTAAAAGACTAAAAAGTGTAATTAATTATAAAACTAATTGAGGGACGTGGGATGAGATGGTTCCAATGCCCTGGCTTCTCACATAAGAAACACAAACCCAACTTAATGTAAACAGTGAAGCAAAACTTAAGCTTAACCAAAGTGTAATGCCAAACTGACCTCTCACGAGGGGTTTTTCCACTTTAACCAATCAAATGTTTTCTTTGTCTTGCTTCCTGAACACTTTATAAAAGTTCATGCCCCCTTGATGGAGCCCTGAACTGCCTGTGGTCTGATGTGCTGCCCAATTCATGAAATCTTTTGAGTGCTCAAAGAATGCCTGAAAGATAGGGTTCTCTCTCAACAGAAGTCCCAGAGGTAGCAAATACAAGAAAGGGTGATAAACTCAGCTGAAATGCAAACTCTGAGCCACGGTGCGGGTATCAACTGCTGCCCGAGCTAATGTTCTCTCCACCCTTGAGCCCTACACAGAGATGGTCAGTAAGAATCAGCTGGAATGCAATGCCTCTCCTCCAGGTCTTGCCTTTAGTAGGACACAATCCAGCTGGAAGGGGGAACCCACTGACTTGGGTTCCACGGGTCCTCAAAGGCTGTGGGAAAATGCTGAGAGCAATGTGCCAATCAAGATGTGCTCAAGGAGCAGAGGACAAGGTGCACAGTGAGTGAGGTGCGAGAACAGCATCTCCCCTTCCTCTGGAACCCCAGAGTTCAGTCTGATCAAAACTGTTTTTACAAATCATTTGTTTTTCTACATTTTAAATCCACTATAGACTAAGCCTTTGCTTAGATATTTGAGAATAAGCTTTAGAACCTCTTGAGCTAGGGTTGTGTCTCTTACTACCTAAATGGTCTCATCAAACATCTAAGTTTTCGGGACCTCTGACTCTTTATCTGAAAAGTAGGGATAACAATATTACTGGTTTCATTAGGCAGATGCTTTAAACAAATGAGATAATCATTTAAAACACTTAGTACTATGTTCTACACATGATAGGCTCTTTATAAAAGTTCTAGATTATTGGGTTTTTTTTTCTTTGTCCCACTGAATGATAGCTGCCATTGGTACAGTACCAGGGCAAGGATGCAATCAGGGGTTTTCTCTCAGCACCAGCTACCAAATCCTTGCCCCACAGACCAGGGGAGGACCTGTGAATGTGCTAGAATATACTGTTTTCTTTTCTTTCTTTTTTTTTTGAGTGGGGATAGGCGCTGAAGATTTAACCCAGGGTCACTTTATTACTGATATACATCTCTAACGCTTTTTTTTTTTTTTTTTGAGACAGGGTCTCACTAAGATGCTGAGGCTGACCTTACAAATCCTCCTGTCTCAGCCTCCCAAACTGCTGGGATTACAGTGTGCTTGGCTCACTGTTTTCAATTAACATGTTTTTAGCATAGTGCAAGAAAAAAGATGTTCCAGTAATCCTACCATTCCTCAGAATTTGTTTCAGCTTCTGGGACATGTAGAAGAAAGAATATATTTTAATTTTCCTAACTGAGGCAAAACAAGCTTGAAATATAAAGGATATGCCAATACTAATTACAGCAATCCTATGATTCAGAGTGTGAACTATGTTTCCTTATGACACTGATTATTTTAAAACACAATTTAACTTTTCTCCTACAGTAGACAGATTATTTCCAGTTTGGAGTATTCTAAATAAATTTTTGTGTGTAACATTTGTCCAAATTCTTGGCAATTTTCAAAAGCTAGACTCCCAGAAAAGAAACTGTTAAGTCAAAGGAGAGGAATTTTAAGGCTCTTGGTACTTATTATCACGCTGTTCTTCAGAAAAGATTGTACCAATTTACACTCCTACCAGCAGTGTGTGAACATGCCCTTTCCCTGCTTTGTCTATCATATTTGTTGCAAATATTTTTCCAGTTTGATATATTTATAATTGAATCTATAGATTTATTTTCCTTTACAATTTCTTCCAATACTTTTCTAAGCTTAAAACCTAGTCTTTCTTCATCACCAGACTAAATATTCACACACAGGTCCTCTTAGTTATTTTTAAAATAGGGTTTCCTTTAGGTTTTAGTATACCAGTGCTTTATTTTTGTGTGTGGTCTGAAGGTAAGAATCCTCCAAATTTGTTTTTCCCACTTAATCTTGGTTGTTTCAGAACCACACATGAAATCATTGTTCTTTCCCTACTCTTTAGGACACCTGCTTTGCACATACTAAATTACCATATGGTCACTAGGGAAAGCCCTGACAAGCAGGCTTGATCTCCAGCAACAGGTCTAATGAGCTGGCCATGGCTTCCCAGGGAAAACATTGTTCTGAGACTGCCCCCAACTTCACAGGAGAATGTCAGCACAGCATGGATTGAGAGTTCTTGTCATTGCTGCAATGGGAAATGTTTCAAGATCATCCTCTCAATGGATCTGGCTACTACTCTTGCAAGATTATATACATCTTTCTTGCTACAACTAGAGGGAAAGCTCTGTTAGAACAGGAATTGTTTTCCTGTCTTTTTCACTGGTATGTCCTCAAATTCCCAGACTAGTGCCTGGCTGCCAGGCAGACAGTGAAACATGGTCAATAGGTATTTATCAAATGAGTGAAAGCTTAAAAAAATGTTGTCTTACTTTGCTCCTAGAAGTTTCATGGCTTGACAAACACTCTTTTATTTTCCCCAAATGACCTTTAGAATCAATGTCAAGTTGCTCCTCCGTTAGAAAAAGTTCCATAGAAAATGCACAATAAAACTACAATAAAATGCCTCTACTCAACCACAAAATAATGAGAATAACAAACGTTGGCAAAAAATGTGGAGCAAATACTCTCACATAAGGGTGTTATAATAAACTGAAAAACCATTTTAGAAAACTTCTAGGCAGTATCTTCTGTAACTGAACATAATAACCACAGACTCCGCAATGTCAATCATAAGTAAATCTCCAACAGAAATTTGCATGTATGTATATAACACCAAAAAATATGTCAAAGAGTCCATAGCAACATTATTTGTAATAACAAAAAGTACCAAAAATAACTTGTGTTAACTAGGAACAGGGTACATAAACAGATTATGGTATAGTAACACAACAGAATACAACACAAGCAATGAGAATACATTAACTCCAAATAGACACAACACAGATAAATTAAAATAAAGGTAAGAAACCAGACAAGGCTGGGAGTGTAGCTCAGTGGTAAAGCATTTGCCTAACATGAATGAGGCCCTGGGTTTGATACCCAGCAACACACACACACACACACATACACACACACACACACAAAGAAGACAAAAGAATATACACTGTATGGTTACATTTTTTAAAGTGACAAAACTAATATACAGTGAGAGAAGTCAGACAAAAATTTACCTTGGGAGGGATGAGTACTGAGTGCAGGGGTATCAGAAAGTTGTTTTTTTTTTTTTGGTGTGTGGGAGGGTGCTGGTCATGCATGTTTGCTCACTTTATGAACACCCATGGGACTGTACACTTATGATCCCTGCACGTGATTTATACCTTAATAGTTTACAGTAATAAATCATTAAGATATTTTATCAGCCTCATTTGTTTAGAGATGATAAAGAAGGCTTCTCTGAAATATAAGAACATGTTCATCTGGGCAGAGAGAACACAGCTTTCTTCAGTTTGCCAAAATCAGCTCATTGCCAAGTGGTCTGCTTTGTGATTCAAATAGATAAGTCAAAGGTTGTTCCTCAGACTGATGTTTGAGGCAGACCAAAGTAAGAGTAGGTACTAGACTACTACCAAAGGCAGCTGGGCTGTCCCTGCAGCAATGAACAGAAGGTGCCTGTCAAGGGAATGCACTAATTCTTACAGCTACTCCATCTTTAGAATATCATTTAATCTTTCTTTGGAATAGGTTTTAAATGGCCTGAAATCTCTCTTTATTACAATTTAGGAGAGTTTTAATATGATTAAGCATATGCTCACAAAATGGGAAGGTTTTTACGATTCCTTGCACAATCCTAAGTGTCACCAACAAGAAACACCACCACACCCAATGAAGACAGCAGCAAAGAGAATCAGAACAGGACACTGTCATTACAGTGTATGCTCTGAGGACAGGGGTCCTATCCAGCCTGCTCACAGCCACTTAATAAAGGTGTGTGAACCATAATGAGCCAGGTCAGAAACACAGTCATTCAGTGACCTGTCCCTGCCATGAATCGTTCATATCCTGGGGCTGAAAGGCAAATTCTCCTTGACTCTTTTCCAACCATTGAAAGTCCCTCTAACATACCAGGTCACTTCATCTGACCATCCTTCACCTAAGCTTCCTGTTATAAGGATGGGATAAAATACAATTAAGAATATGAATATGGATCATTTCTTGCCTTTTGGACATGCTCAAGTGAAGAACATGAATAGGGTCTGGGCATTTTATGTTATTAGGGAATTACTATTCACTTTATTAGGCACACAATGGTATTGTGATCATGTAAGAAGCCATGCTTATTATTTGAAGCTGTATGTTACAGTATTTAAGGTGAATTATGGTGATATATAACTTACATTAAAATAAATTAGTAATATGTATGTATGTATTTAAACTGACAAATATTAATTTATATTAAGTGGCTATTATGTAGGTGCTTACTATTCTATTTTCTATATGTTTGAATACTGTCACAATAAAAAAATTAAAGATGTAATTAAGAATCACAAATGTTCTAGTGAATATATTACTATTTGTTAAAAAATGCAAATTTCAAGTAAGATACAATTTTTCAACTAACTGGTTGGCAGAAAGGTTTTTTGTTGTTGCTGTTGTACTTAATAATAATCTGAATGGATAACATTATGTGGGAACTGTACACTTCCACACTCCCACCCAAAATATGTAGTCTGCTAAGAGCAATCAAATGCCTTAATCTATTGTAAACCCACTGTTTAACCCAACAATGCCACTTCTAGGAATTCCTACTAAGAAAATAATGCAAGCTATATACAAATATGTAAGCTGTTATGACAGATAAGTAAAGCTGGCAACTGAACATCCAATCATAAAGGATGGTTAGGTAAATTGTGGTAAGACAAATTATGGTAGAGCAGCCATACATAGGAACATCACATAGCATTAAAGTATTGTAGAAACGCATCCAGTTATAAGAAAAGGTGTTCATAATATATTAGTTGAGGGAAAATACTGGATACAAAACAATAGTTTTTTCCTCTTGTTAAAGAAAAAAAAATGTATACATATACAGAGACACATGCAGTAAGAGAACACTATCTCTATACTGACATCAAGTTACTTTATTTATCTTTTAGCTCTTCATCAATGAAAGAAACTTATTTGTTGTTAAGAAAGTTTTTCACTTAAGGAATTAACTGTTTTTCCTACGAAAATGCTTAAAGTGTACATCATTCTTTTATTGAGAGATTAATTCTAAAACTCCAAGTACAATTCACCATTACTCCCTATCACATCCCACTTCTGCCCAGCCCCTTGCCCCAGTTTTCCCATTTTTCACTTCTGACGTGTAGTCACTCTAGACTCCAGGCTTCTGAGCAGCCCATGATCACCTCCCTTCCTCCCCCTTGAACCACTGCTTCCCTCCTCTGTTTCTCTGTTCATACTACTGGCACCTCTCGGCACCCAGGGCATACACATTCCCGCCCTGCTCTCTCTCATTTATAATAAAACAACAGTCACTTTCTGAAATATCCCTTTAAAAGTGTCTCTGACTTGCCCAATCCCCACTCCTCCTGGTGTTATGTCCTTAATAACTCTGACAGCCTCCAACACCATCATTCCCAAGGCCACACACCTTATAGCCTTGCTGCACCAGTTCAATCTCAAATCCATCTTGTCCCTGGATTACTCAGAAAACCTTCAATGGCTTCCTATTGTTCAGAGGCATGCCAAATTCCCAATTACCTTTCCAAGTTTGTTACCCACACCCTGTAATACTTAGCAGATTCCCTGGCAGAGAGTTGTATTTAAATAAACATTTTACAAATGAACAAGAATCCTTCAACCTGGCCCAGTCTCTGGGCTTTCCTTCCATGTGGTCCTCCTCTTCTCTCCCCCACCATCCCAGGGGCTCCTCGCATTCTCCCCGCCAGCCTTCCCTGACCACTACCCACAATGGCAACTGCTCCCTCCTTCCACTTCCTGTGGTATTTGCTGTAACCACACAGGCAGAACCTTCAAGTATGCTGATTTA